GACGGGGCCGCGCGGGGCGGGCCGCGCTCGCGCGCTCACCTGGGCAACGGGCCCGCCCCCCGCCGCACGCACCACCGCACCGCGCCTATGGGGGTGTGCGGCGGCGACACTGCGCGCGGCGCTCCGGGGTCGCCCCTTCGCTCCGCGCACTGCCTGAGGCCGCTCCCCCCCGCGCCGGCTGGTGGAACAGTCCCGGCGAGAGGCCGGGTCGATGACAGATGCTGGCGCATGCGCAGGGAGCGCGGCCCGGGCGGCGATGGGTGCCCGTTCTGGAGCCGAGCTGCGAGGCGGCTCTGTGCCGCGGGTTCGAGTCCCCKCGGCGGCGGGTCGTGGCAGGCCGGACCCCGGGAGGGCTCTGCATGGCTCCAGCCTTCGCGAACCTCTCCGCTGTCACCCCGCTGTTGCCTACGGTGGCACCAAAACCTTTTCCTCCGCGTACGGGTCCGCACGCTGCACGACCGCGGCGGACAGCACGCACCTGCCCGCGGKCTCCCGTCCGACCAGCAGCCCTCGGAGACCCAAGTCCTGGGCTTTCCCTGAGCGTTATTTCTGTTCTTCCAAGCTGGAGTTACTTTTCGATACATATCCCTCTTCCTTTTAGTGCCCTTGCTGTTATTTAGTAGCACCATTTGCAGAAGGCGTTGTTTTATGCGGGGATGTGTTGGGATGAGGGGCTGGAAAGGGGCAGCCCCTGTCCCTGACCCGGCGTGTCCGCCAAGCGCTGGCCAGCGCGCTCTACACTGGTATTAAAATTTCCTTAAATCTACAAGCCATCCGTGCCTATTTATAGTCATTAATGGAAGATTTCATGGTAGTTTCAAAGGCATTAATCCAGGTCACAGAGCGAACTACCACTTCCCGCCTGGAGATGGTTCCCTCCGTCCAGCCTGAGTCCATTGCCAGGACCAAGGGGAGCTCACGGCTGCGCTCCTTTTCCTCCGTGGCCACGGGGGCTATCTTGCAGTGCACGAGTCACCCTCGGTGTCACCTCAGTGTGCACTTCAGACCCGCTTTGTGACTCTGGTTCTGTGTGTGCAAAGCTGTGTACACGAGTCTCTTCAATAACCACGCATCACTTGTGGCTTTCTCCTCAAGCTGTCTCAGCAGCAGAGGGCAAAGCGGAGGAACCCCACGGGCTGCTGCTGCTCAGCAGGTGTTCATCGGYCCTGCTCAGACTGCAAAACAAGGGCAAAATTGAAACGAACAAGCCGTTCCATGTAAGCACGCAACAAGGAGATAATTAAAAATATATCATAAGGAAACAGTGCCTAGTGTTCACGTGTCGYTCAATAGCTGCAGCAACAACGCACAGTGACCCCACGGTGCTACTTAGACCAAAGCCCAGGCGACACAGTCACCTACATCTTCGGGGTGAAAGCTCGGGCACTAGAGAAGCGAGCCACCAGCTGACGCCCGGYTGCCCTGCCATCACCYRCGGCTCATCCATCACCCACCGGCCYTTCCCGGCGGGGRCAGCGCTCCGGGGCCGCGGGGATGGCGAGGCGGCGGCGGGGCCGGGGCGGCGGCGGGCGGGCCCGTGGGAAGGAGGAGGAGGAAGAGGAGAAGGAGGAGGAAGAAGAGGCGGAAGCGGCGGCGGGCGATGGCCGGGGCGCTGCTGCGCGGAGYGCGGCGCTTCCCCTGGCTGTGCAACGTGCTGCTCTACGGGGGTTTGTTCGCGGCGGGGGACGCGGCGCAGCAGCTGCTGCGGGGACAGCCGCCCGACTGGGCGCAGACGCGGCGAGTGGCGCTGGTGGCGCTGGCCTTCCACGGCAACTTCAGCTACGTGTGGCTGCGGGCGCTGGAGCGGGCGCTGCCCGGCCGCCGCCCGCCCGCCGTGCTGGGCAAGGTGCTCTGCGATCAGCTCCTGGGCGCGCCCGTCGCCGTCCTGGCCTTCTACACGGGTGAGTGCCGGGGGCTCGCCCGGAGCCCCGCAGCGGCATCGGGACCGCCTGGCTCAGCGGGGCAGCCCGCACCGGCAGCGGGGTTCGCCATCCCGAGGGGGCCGGGCTGGCTGGATCCTCCTGCCCGCCCGGCGCGGCTCCCGCAGCCCCGAAACGCCGCTGCCCGGGGCCCTGCAGAGCCCGAGGATGCTGAACCGCCYGTGGCTCTTCAGAGCGTTCCATGAGGGTGCTGGAGCAAGGAGGCCTGCCCTGAGCTCGGTTGGGCRCGCTGCTTTTAATTAGCAACAAAAAATTCACAGCACCTTACAAGCATTGTGGTACCYATGTCTGTTTGAATTGCTCTGCTCAGTTTTCAGCATCAGCTGTCTCATTTTCCAAAACACAGCTGTAAATGTCAGGAAATACCACAGTTCAGCCAACCAGCTTCTGCTGTGAGAGTCCATAGAAATACAGCRTGCTACTAATGGCTAATCTCAAACGCTACCAAGTAAGAAGATACTTTAAAGAAGTCAGGTATCTATTTCAGAAATAAACATGTGGGAATAAGAAAATTAATAGGTGAGACTAATTAAATGCTCTCATTTAACTTAAACGTCATGTGGAAGAAGTGTAAGACAGGTCCTCTTTTTGTCTGGTATTGTGAGATCTGCATTCTGTGACCCCAACAGGGAAATCATTCAGTTTGTGGCTGGAGAGAAATKAAGTGAAAAAAGTCCAGCATCAGATACTTCCTCTCAAAATCTTAAATATGTTACAACTTAAGCTGAGAATGGCCCAAGGACCTGAAGAACCTGAAGGACCACAAAAGGGATAGTAAAAGTCCCTAAATTGGGTAGCAGTAAAATAATGTATCCATTGAGAGATACTGGAAACCTCATAGCATGGGAATACCTAGAAAGATTCCTGTGTTGGACTGAGCAGCCTCTGCTTATGTGCATATCTGTMGACTTGATTCTGGACAGACTTGTTAAAAGAATATTGTCTAATATTAGGTAGACAGAATGATATTTTTTTGTAATGTTATCAGTTTTTCTTTCAAAGTATTATATTTTGAGAAGAGTCTGGGAGGTCATTGAAAAATGTAAACATTTCATTTTTTGCRTTTTTTCTAATTGTTGTAACTATTTTACCACTAGGCATGAGTATCCTTCAGAAGAAAGAGGACATCTTTTCAGACTGTAAAAAGAAATTTTGGAATACATATAAGGTGAGGCAAGCATTTGCTTATCTCACAGATAAGAAAAAAAAAAGATAAAATTTTGAAATATTTCTTTCTCCAACACTGTTTTTACCCTTTCTCTCACTCCATTATTTGATTATGTGTAGGAAGCTYTAAGTACCAGCAGTCACGTGAAGTAAAGGCAGTTTGGGTTAGGCACTGCTGCCAGATGGGTGAAATGATGCCATTTAAAACATGTCCAGTGTTTATGTATATAAAACTCTTGCACCCAGCTCTGTTTAAATGACAGCCCTACAATTCAACACTGATTCAGAGTTTTTTTACCTTTTGTCTTAAGAACTACCCACACTAGTGTTTAGTTAGTGATACTACTGACAACACTTACATGCACACCTATTAAAATTATTCATATTATAGAGACACCTTCTTCAGGAATCATTTTTTGCCTGTACTTTTCTGTGACAATCTTCTCACTTTCAAAMCCACCATCCCTTGTTTTAAGAAGACTTAGCTATAAACATCTGGCTTTGATTTGCATTTCTGTGCACACAAGACAAAATTATCCGTGCTACCTCAGAGCTGATCAAGCTGAGAATGTTAAAGATTTCTCAGATGCAGGAAGAATGATGGATTAGCAGGAAAAACTATAACAGAAGGAGAAAAGATGATGCAATGTGAATTTCTCTTCATATTGTGCAACTGTATAGGTAGGATAGAAAAGGATTATTTTTCTTCCTATGGAAGATGATTCTAAAAGCAGTGCCCACTATATCCTATGAAAACATAAGGTTTCTATCAGCCTTATGTTCTGTGAGTAAGTTTTCCATTGATTTTTCTAAATATGCCTTACGTGTATGAGTAAGTAGAAGGAGCACTGCAAGTGTGAAATAAATAGAGTTCAGTGGTATTTTTCATTAATGGCTGAAACAAATGTTCACATGTTTAAACATTTGTTCACCCATCTGGTAAATGCGCTTATTGTGTCTGGTGTCAGATGTCTGTGAAGACTTAACTGTGCTTAGGGTTTTGTATTTAAAATGAGTTAGAGTTATCTGTTTGAAAAATTCAGAGCATAGAGGCTCGTGAAGATGATCAGAAGTTTAAAATGGCAACCTCTGAGTTAAGCAACTCCATTTGTAACTGAATAGTTTTTATTGACTTTACTCAAATATGTTTTGGTCTTCGCTAAATGTGGAAAAAATGAAYCTTGGTGGTTGAAATCTGTCGGAATAACAAATGATTTGTTTTCTTTTCAGACAGGACTGATGTACTGGCCCTTTGTGCAGGTGAGTTCTCAGGGTGGCTCTGTGATCCTTTCCTCTCCATAACACCCTGAGCAGCTCCTGTGTGTGACCCAGGAGAAGGCAGCRGGGCTGGCGGGTGTGTGACAATCCCTGGAGCACTAACTGAGCTCTCTCTCCTTCCAACACAGCTGTCAAACTTCATTTTGATCCCAGTTCACCTGCGAACAGCTTACACTGGGCTCTGTGGCTTTGCCTGGGCTACCTTCATTTGCTTTTCCCAACAGAGTGGRGATGGCACAGCAAAGTCAGCGTTTAAGTGGCTCCAAGGAGAGAAGGTCACTGCAGATGAAGAATCRTCAGACAAATAAGAACTTTAGTTCTGAGCGCATTCTAAATTGCTAAACTGGGTTTATGCAAGTCAGTAAATCACACTGCAGCCTCATTGTTGTGTTTAAAATAAGCAGTAATCTCAGCATTTGGTGCTTAGTATAAGCAGTGGAACAGTTTGTCTTTGTGCCTGTTTGTTTTTCATAAAAGAGGCCAGTTGTATATTGACATTTAATTATTTTCATGCTGTCAGCCCATCTCATCTGGGAACAACTGACTTACAGGGCAATGTAAGCATTTGCAAATCATGTCAGATTGCCTCACTGGGGAGAAATATTAACTGTAATTTAATTTTCAAGCAACTTGTAATTGCTAGAAAAAGGGAATAGGACATTAAATCATCAGTTGTCAGACTTGACAATTGTTATCAATGCAAGATTACTTTTGCTGAACAAAATTTAATGGATTCCATATCTAAAAAGTGGCATTGAATCTGTTTTATTGAGAGGGAACAAAAGTGCTGAATTTGTAGAGCCCACTTTTCTATGGGCTCAACTTGTTTTATTCTACATGAAAATTTATATAGCAAAAGAATTCTTTCATAGAATATACAATCCTGRAATATATTTGTACAGGTTTTATCTCAGCTGGGAGAATAAAGACAGCTTTGGTCAGAGCCCTTGGTGTGGGTCATGARCAGCACCTGCACGGTGGAACCCACSCAGGTCCTGCAGTGATTTTTGTTCTGTGTGCAGCCACTGCTTCCTTTGCTCCTCCAGGGCCAAAGTATTCAAAAGTACATGGGAGTCTTGACTCCTCCACTCTTTTCAACTGAAAGAGTGTAATTAAGATTTTGGAGAAAAAGAGCATGGGAAGAAAGGCAACATGAATGGCAGAATCAAGCTACATATATCAGGAACTATAATTTCTTCCTCAAATGGCTTTTAAACATTCCTATTCATAGAAGATGCTGGGTAACTGTACATAGGAGACTAGGAGAAGGTGAAAATGAATTATGGATCTGCTTTGTCAGTTTGAGGATCCGGTCTGGATACGGGTATTTTTTAAATGTGCATATGTATCTGAGAACAGGAACTGTGCAAATTTCTGTGATTGCATTAAGTTGAAGTCAGACCAGTAAAGGAGCCCTCACTGTATTAGACTGGGATTTTATGCCTTGGAGTCACTGAACTATAAGCTTGAAAGAGTATCTGATTTAATGGGCCTGATTCTAAAGAGAAGACTCATCCCTCTGTTACAACAGTAATAAACCACTTTGAGGAATGTCTGAATTCCTCACTCTTGTCTAAATAGTGTACCAAAGGCTCCTTAGGCTATAAATACACATTCCTTTGGCCAGCAGCTCTACTACTTAATATATTGCTAACAATTATTTGTCACTGTGGGAGCCCAGTGCTGCTTAGCTGAGAAAGGAAAAGGGATCATGCAAGCACTGCCCAATCTATTTCAGCTAAAATCAAYTTGTTGGGCATAACCCAGTGGTCAGGAGAGGTGCCCATGTAGCTTTGAGCAGAGGACTGAAGCAGTGGGAAGAGGGTAGATGGCAGGGGGCTGTATAATGAAACTGTTCAAGTCCTCAGGGTAAAGAAGCAATTGCAGTAGTGGTTTTGGGTTTTTTTTTTTTTTTCTGTTGATGTTTTCAGGATCAGACTAGTGTTTTAAAGTCTGTTCTATTTGTTAAGAGCTAGAAGTTTCGGTAAGGTGAGCTGATTAAGTGTTTAACTTTTTTTTACAGATGCTATTTATTTTTATTTCTTCTTGTGCCTTAAGTGTTTAATGATTAATAGCATTCACTTGGAGAAGGGAACTGGAAAATAATKTTATTGCAAGGAGAGTGAAATGGTGTTGGTTTGCTGTCAAGCAGTATGGGATGTTTTGCTGTAACTCAGAGCAAAAAATCTTTCTTCATGGGTATGGTTGGTAAAACTTAATCCCCAGATGAGTCAAGAATTTATAACTTGTGATCTGTGTAATACTGACGCCTTTCTTCATCAGGACTAACTAATAAATGGAAGATTCATCTATTATTTTAAATGGCTTAAAAGCTTATACAAACTGTGCTTTATTGCTTTCTGCTTTTGTGCTGCCAGCTTTTTGCTTGGGAATTTGAGCTAAATCCTGCTTTGTCTTCAAGTTTCTCTGGCTGGGGAGTTCAGGATTTCTCTCCATATTTCTATTACTTCAAGTGCAGTTCTTTCATGTAATGGAAGCCTGTGGCTCTTATATTT